GTGTGTGTGTGTGTGTGTGTGTGTGTGTGTCTGTAATGAAAGGTTAAGATTTCTGTTCAGAGTAATGAAGCTGTGCCAGTGGACTTAAAGGACCGGGGCTGTCTGATCACTGATGTCATTTACTGGAACGATCTCTACTGCAGTCCAGGGGCAAATTGGAGCATTTGGTTCTTCTGTTTCTTTCACAGAGCCTAGTTAAGTGTGATTGGGCAGCAAGTGCCAATTTATACATAATGGAACTGACTAGTGTTGGCAGGTTAAGTTTGACTTTTATGAAAAACATTGTAGGTAAGGTATGGGAAAGATAAAGGATAAGATAAGATATCCATCAGTTATTAGTCTGAAGGTTTATCCACAAATGATTAACTTTCATTTCTAAGCTGTTACTTTCTAACTGTTTCTTTGCTTTGATCTCTGTCTTCTTTTTATACCTTCAGGACTCTGAGATTCTGAACACCGCTGTATTGACTGGAAAGACGGTGGCTGTTCCTGTAAAGGTGGTGACTGTTGGAACTGACGCCTCTGTTACTGACGTCTCTGAAGCGGCGACATGTCGCTCAACAGACGAAGACGTGGTCAAGGTCAGTAAGATCAACTTCTGAAAAGAGGGGGGGGAAAAGACTCCCGCAATCTCTGCTCTCGCATAAACACCATGCCATCGCAGGCTTCAGATTAGTTTCTGTTGGTGTTTTTCAAAGAGTGACATTTTATTTATTTATTTTTACATGAGCTGCTACAGCTCAGTGCAGTACCAAGGTGATGCCCTGTGCAAATATGACTTCAGATATATAGACAGGCGCAGTACTAGTATGTAAAGGGTTTGCATTCTTAAGTAATGTTGTGTATGTGTCTACTCTTCGGTTTTAGTTCAGTTTGGTTTTATTTAGTTTCCAGAGTGGGTTTTATTGATTCAGTTTGATTTTTATTGTTTGAAAAAGTGTAGTTTTCTTTAGTTTTCATTATTTTCTGTGTTAATTTTACTATTTTAATTATTATTGTATGAAAGGCATATGTCAAGATTTAGGAAACTCTATACAGGTATAACAATAAAAACACAGAACTTGTTGAAAGCAGTTGACTCCCGGTCTTGTAGACATCCATCAAAGTCTCATTAGGCAATTTGGGCATATTTTATTTTATTTTATTTTTGATAGGTTTTCAACTTAACAACATCATTTTTTTGTGGTTCTTTACTTTTAAGACTAGTTTTTATTTTTATATTAGTTAACAAGATTTTGGTTTTCAAATTTTATTTTATTTTAGTTATCTATAATATAACCTTTATGTGTGGATATACCTGCAAAATATGTTTAAATGCTTAATAGTAAATCTGTTAAATGTGAACAACATGTAATCTAAAATGTCTGTAGTCCATTTAAGTTAATCAAATGCAATTTGCAATGGAAACTCAAATTGCCATTATAATTAACCCACATATGAGCCCATGTAATTATATTAAAGATTAGGTAGGTAGTGCATTTTTTATAGAAAGTGTTGAAATGATGTTTAGTACATTTAGCACACATGCACCCTGAAGAAAATGAAAACAAACACTGGAAAACAACATGAAAGAGCATGTTTGATATGCAGTGACAACTGACAACTTTTTCTTTATACGGTCCCTTTTAAACCTGCAGCATGAAACCAAAAAACAAAAAAGTGTAAAAGTGGCTTTGCTATGCAAACAAAGGAAGTCACACTGAGACGGGATCCAAGAGACTCAATGCAAACCCAAAGAAGAAACAGTCACATCAGTCAGCACCCCCACGGCTCATTTGGATGAGTGTGCAGGCCCGTGGACAGAAGGTTTGGCCCTTCCTGCAGTGTCTTGGTTAGATTCTGCCTGAGGCTCTTTGCTGCATGTCATCTCTCCTTTAATTGTCCCACTATTTTTTCTGCCTCTACTGGCTCTATCCAAAAAGCCCCACAATGAAAATGCCTTTGGTCTGTTTCCATTTCCAAATGGCTGTGATGTCAAAAATTAAAAGCTATAGTAGACGAGAACATTTACCATAATTGATCACCTTAAATTGTCTTAAGTGTGTTCTGGAGGACGATTAAGTGAAGAAGGATGCTTCTACTTTAAAAACAAAAAGCCCCACCTGCAGCATACTTACTGTTGCTCACTCAGGAGGGTTTTTTTAATAATCATAGCCTGTGATCGTATACATAAAGGTGACAGATTGTGACCTGGACGATTAGGATTAAATAAACACAGAGTGACTTTAACATAGAACAGTGAATCACATCACATGAAATGGTGCTTCCACTTACTTCAGCCTCCTAAATTACAGTAAATTATAAAGAAATACCAGGTTACATGATTTTTCTTTAAAGCTCTTTGGGAATTTGTGCAGTTTACACAAATTTGTTCTGTGTAGGAAGAAATAAGGCTATGTCTGTGCTTATTCTGGGTTATCATGTTGACAGCTACGTGTAAGGCTCATGCAAAGCTCACCATATGAGCTGCATTTACTGTGTGTGAATCTATGGAAATGTTTTTTCAAGCTCTTCTATTGGCTGTGTTGTCAGATTGAGGCAATTTTGATATCTCATTTGTGTCATTGTCCTCTTTTTTTTTCACTTAGCTTGCCTACATCACCTTATACATGTTCACACAATCCAAAATAAGTGTTACCTCTGGCTCAGGTCCAGCACTCTTTCAAAGAAAGCCACGTTTCTTTTAGAAGGCATATTTTTGTTTTCCAGGTGCCTCCTTAGCACAGTCCAACCAAAGCCATAGGAGTGATAGCTTTTGCTGTAATGTTGATTAACAAGTTATTCTTTCTTCAGGTTGCCTCCACTGGCTGTGGTTACCCATGGTTTGCTTCATAAATCCATATCCATGTAACAGATTTAATTTTTCTCCTCCTGGGCAACTTTGACAAAAGCCTTTTAAGTGTATAGAACTTGCCTCTGTGTGAAGAAAGTACTGATACTGCAAAATAACAATTCATTCATAACATTTGCAGCATTAATAACTTGGAGCTCTGTCTTCACGCTCAGCATTAAACAATTTCTTGTTTCAGAACTGAACTGTGAATTCTAGTCAGAAAAGATGTGCGGTATTTCAGCAGCTCACACAAATAAAAGAATCATTGAAATAACAACAACAACACACACATTCATGAAATTGCAGGGATAATCTTCCATCTTCACATTAGCCATGAAGGTCGTGTTATGAGCGAGCTCCTGCAACTCCTGCTATCGTCGCGCAGCATAATCATTAGAAACCTTGCTATGTGCAAACCTTTTCCTTGCACTGAAGTGAGCGCTGAATCTTATGCAGAGATGTCTGAGCAGCTTAATTGCTTCTGTCAAACCGGCTCTGTGTACAAGCCAGAGACAGACTCATCCTACCTTCATACTCCCTACTCCCATCGCTCATATCTGCCTTGGATTGTGACTGTCTGGTGAGTAGTTAATTTCCTGGGCTAGATCCAGAGACAGCCTTAATGTCCTCTGTAAGTATTCTCCCGTTAGCTGCCTAATGCGCCTGATTAATGTGGCGGTGGATCCTCCTGGACGTTTACGATACTTTGTAAAGAAGAATGACGGAGAGCGTGTAACTCGCAGAGGCAGTTCCACCCTCGGCGTGGCGCGACACATACCCAGTGGTGAGGGTGGAGGAGGGGTTAAAGGGCCTGCTGATTAAGTGGCAGTGTCCCCTTATGTCGCAATATTGATTTAAGTCTATTCTGGCCAATCAGAGCGCACAGCAGGGCGGTATAAGCACACCTGTGTAATTGGTCGGGACAGCACGATGTCAGCTGCCATGTTTTCCGTAATTGTTTCTCCCTAGATTAGTGGGGTGTTGATCAAATTCCTAGCAGGCAGTTACAGTAATTTCCTTGTCATCAAGAATACCGTAGCAGAGCTGTACGTTAATAAATACCAGATGTTTACAATTTTTTTATTAATTTAAATTTTGTAGGCTTTTTTTTGTAGTTTTTTCATTTAGCTACTAGATATGGTGAGTGAGCCCTGCACGTTTTTCGGTCAGGCATCGCATAGCCTGCAATTCGCTGCTCATGCAGCTAAGTTGCTTCACACCAACTAAGTAGAGTCAGAGATGAAGAGACTGTCAAAGCACTTCAGTCTCAGCAGACTGAGTGTGGTGAGAGAAAAAGAGGCTAACAATGAGAGCTGATAAAGAGCAGGGACTCCTCTGACATCTTTATCTGTTCAAACACACTCCCGCATCGGGAGCGCTGAGTCCTATCTGCTCCATGACTGACTGTAACCAGGGGAAGGACACCGCGCTCGTACAGACGTTTAAAAGCTTCTTTAAGCCGTCGGTCTGTGTTTCATTGCATTGTATTACAAGGTACCACTTTGTACGTTCTCCGTATTTGGCGTAATAACACAGAGGAAATATCCACTCATCCTTCATGTGTCCACTTGAAAATGCAAGGCCTGTGCAGTTCTTAACAGAAGTTCTCTGATGGTTAGATGTAGCCTTGAAGGATGCCCTACAGCGTGCTTTTCATCTTTCTCACAGGGGCTTTCAGAACTTTTTGGTCTCTGGTCATAGAGTCCACTGCTGTTGATAGCTCGCTGCTGTGCAGGAGACTTTTTAAAAGTTTAAGAATGGCTGGTGTAATAACAAATGTTATAAATAGGAGGTAGCAATTCAAGTTTGTACAAAGAAAAAAACAAATAATTATACCATGAGTAATTTTAAGTAGTGTGCAATCAGTTCAGTTACAATCAGAAACTGTTCACAATGTTTGTGGATCTGCACCAAAAATGTTAAAATTACTATTGTTTATCACTTGTCCCTCCTTTTCTGTAAAATACCTATAAATGTGCATTACTTAAAGTTACTTACAGTATAATTATTTCTTCTTCTGTATTTTACTCAAGTGTATCTATTAGTAGATGTTTGTAAGTAAGTGTAACTACATTGTAATGCCAGATAAATTACACTGAAATTCCTTTTAATTCTAGCAGAATTACACCCTTAGTGACAGGCCGTATTCATACATGCCAACCCTCCCGATTTTTCCGGGAGAATCCTGAATTTCAGTGCCCCTCCCGAAAATCTCCCGGAGCCACCATTCTCCTGAATTTCTCCCGATTTTCCACCCGGACAACAAAATTGAAAAACCATATCGCAGAATTCATAGTGCGGCCCAGCCAATTCCAGTTTCCAACAATGACGGCAGCTACTTAGTTTAATATTACTCTTATTTCTCTTTCTGGGTCGCAAAATAAACTTTTAACATATTTTCAGGCTAGAATGTAGCTGTGTAAACTTCAAATATCTGAGCTGGCGAGAACACCAAACACCCGACACATCGTTTTCAAACCCCCGCAGTCTTTCGCTACTCAGGTTAAACATGATATATAAGTCACTTTGATAACTTAAAAATGTTATTGTTTGGCTTTTTCAGTGTTTTATTTGTTTGTGAGTAAAATGGTTTGGCTGAGATTAAAGTTATTAGATTAGGTTAATTTTAACTTTATTAATCCCTCGGGTGGGTTCCTCCGGGGTTTTCACACAGCTGAATAAAAGTCAAACAGAAAACTGATTAAACAGAAGTGTGAGACGGTCAAGAATTTACGCCAGCGCCCGGTTATATTTTAGATAGCAAGGAGCAGACGGCAGAGTTTCACTCCACCGAGAGAGCTCGTGACGTACTACCCGGCTTTCTTTAGACCGCGAAGGCCGGGTCCTCAGGTGGAAGCAGCCTCTGAATTTGGACACCCAGCCGTTTCCGGCTAGCCAATAATAACAGTGACATTTAACTTATTTTATCCAATAAATAAACACTGTAAAATTTATTTATCAACCCCCCAACAGCCCTTTTGAATGTTTCCCTAATTCTGAGGTCTCAAGGTTGGCAAGTATGGCTGTATTCTAAAGTGCTACTGAAGTTCCCAATGATTTGGCTAGTTAGATTCCATCCATCCATTCGCTTCCGCTTATCCTTTTCAGGGTCGCGGGGGGCGCTGGAGCCTATCCCAGCTGTCATAGGGCGAGAGGCAGGGTACACCCTGGACAGGTCGCCAGTCTGTCGCAGGGCTAACACACAGGGACAGACAACCATTCACACTCACATTCACTCGCACATTCACACTTAGTGGCAATTTGGATTATCCAATTAACCTATCCCCACAAGCTGCATGTCTTTGGACGATGGGAGGAAGCCAGAGTACCCGGAGAGAACCCACGCAAACACGGGGAGAACATGCAAACTTCACACAGAAAGACCCCGGCCTGATGGTGGAATTGAACTCAGGACCTTCTTGCTGTGCGGCAACAGTGCTAACCACCGTGCCACCGTGAGTTAGATTCCATTCCTGCGTAAATTAGAGTAAAATTCAAGCATAACATAAAGCCTGATTCTTCCAACCAGTGAATTCCATAGTACGTGCTTCAGAAACACTTAAAATAAGATAAAAACTTTTTAATTTAGCTGATGTTGGCTGATGTTGTCCCCTTCAAGATCCTCTCCTTTTGCAGTTCTGGACTCTTTCCAGTGCTGTTACTCTTACAAATGTGTGAGTTTGTGATGCATGCTGAATTTCATGCACTGTATCCAAAAAGTGATTTTGAGGTGTAGGACAAAGAGAGGTGCTAAGTGACAGTTGTGTTCATACAGCCAAAATATTTTGTACACAATGCCCTGCTCCACAGTTCAGGCCATTTGTTCTGAATATTCATAAATATAAAAACAATCGTAAGTGCTTATGATGCTCACCGCATGTGCCGCCTCTTGGCTTGGTCACTGCGAGGTCTTCCACTAAAGACTGCTGTTGTAGACCCGGCTCACCTCTGGTCCCTGATATGAAGGTTTGGTCAGTTTGACTCTGAAGTTTTCTGCACAAATGTACAAGCAGTCAGAGGGATAAGCGGTTTACCAGTGGAGAAGGAGACAACCTTACAGAGAAAAGCAGCTTAATTCAGATCAGATCAGATATGGGGCAACTTTGTGAAAAAGTATAAACTTGTATCATAATCACTACCATGTCGTCTGGTTGACAAAAAGAAAGAAAGAATCACCTCTCTCCACTGCCGACCTGCTGTCAAACTCGGGAAGGCAAAGAGAAAAGAAACAAATGTGCACATGTGGACTACAGATATGTCCAAAATAGTTTTATACAAAAACTGAATAAGAAAACAAAGTACCGAAATAGTGTTGAAGGTATGTATTTTATTGCACAAAAACACTACTATGCATTTCATTTCAAAGCAGATTTTGCATGTACATGTTATTGCATCAAATTGTTCTTTCACTTCTTTCCCGACTTTGAAGCTGCGTGTTTATATCCATATGTCAAGATGAATGGGAGCAAAAGAAATCAGCTGGAAGGTCTCTCATGATGCTGTTTTGATGTTCTGTTGTTTTGATCAAGCGTACACCAAGTGGGGCTATTCTTGCAATCCACATACCAGATCTTGAGGAATGCCACTAGTTCAGCCTGCAAGCTCAGTGGTGCAGACAGAGAAAAAGAAATAAACAAAATTTTAAAAATCGATGCGGCAACTCTCCAAATATCTGCTTTTATTTATACAAAACAGCCACATTTACTTTCCACGGTCCCGCACAAACTCCACAGCTAGCTTCATGCTGAAGGTGAAGTGAACAGAACACATTCTGTCACACACAATTTTTTTTTCCTCCTTTGGTCTCAGAGGATATCCTGCCACAGCTTCATGATAAATGGTTGTTTATGGTTTTATCTCACTGTAGAGAAATAACTTGGAAGAAGAAAAAGCAAGGAAAAAAAAAGATTTTTTTCCCAGACCGTCGAATTCCATCTGGTACCAGCCATGGCAGTCTGTTCCAAGATGAGATTAATATGTAAAATTGAGAAAACGCCCAGAGGAATAAAAAATGTGTTCCTACATTCAAGATATACTAAATAATTACCTATTAAGTGCTTAGACTTAAAGAGGTAATTGTGTGTGTCTGTAAATCCTCATAATCAATAATCAAGGAATAACCTTCTGACGGTTACATGTTTCTAAAGCACAAAACTGGCTCACTAATTCTTTCTATGACATAATTTACAAAACCACTAGCTTCAACTTTGGTCATTTTTATCAGCTTTCATCTTACTAGTGTCCATCTGCTGGTTCCTCTTTCAACTGCAGGCTGAACAACAATAAAACAGCAGACCATGCTGTGCTTTCCCTCAGGTTCAAAGATGTCCTTGCTGTCCTCCCCCCTCTTCTCCTGAGAGTCGAGCAGATCGAGGACCTTTCATCTTGTTCAAAGTAGTTACAGGAATGCTATATCAGAGGAGTGCTCAGAAGTGTAAAGCCTTATAATCAACTCGCAGGGCCGGGGCCAACATGGTACTCTGTACAGTATATTGCACTGTGTAATTTGCTGTGTAGTCATCTAGCGCAGCCGTCAGAAGAGCTCAACTTAAATGCTGTCTTTTTTAATCCTCCCCCCTCCTCACATGCAGGTGTCTGACAGGTGTGACTACGTTTTTGTGAACGGCAAGGAGATGAAGGGCAAGGTGAAGATGATGGTGAACTTCACCCACGGATACCTAAGTGCTCAGCTGGAGCTCAACGTGTGGATCCCCCGTCTCCCCCTCCAGATTGAGGTGTCAGACACGGAGCTGAGCCAGATCAAAGGGTGGAGGGTGCCAATAATGGCCACCAATCAGAGGTACTGCAGCGCGTGCATCTGTTGCTAAAGGGGCTTTGCGACTGTGTGTTCTGCTCTCTTATTTTTTCAGGGAGACATTTGTTTTACTAATTGGATGGAATAAAACGTGATCTTTATAATTAACGTTTAGTCGTTTTCTCACTTTCGTGTCAGCTCCTGCGCAGCCATTTCCAGGCGTAATTTACAGTTATCCAAGAAAGAACACCAAGGTTACATCACAAACTTTAGTACAAGTTGTTAAGTTTAATAAAAATAAATTGGTAATTTGTTGACTTTTGCAGCCCCAGTTTCAAGAAAGTACAAGTTCAAGAATAGCCTTTCTCCTCGGTGATGTATTTGATTTCAGTAATGGCAAAGATAAGGTAATGATGTGACATGTGACGAACACCACTCCACCTGTCTCTTCCTGACTTCAGTCTTACTGACAGGTCTTGGCTGATAACAAAATGGCTGACCTGTGCATTACAGCTTGTCATTACGCCTTGCTTAGGGTGGCCTGCCATTGCGCCTTGTGCCTGTCAGTTGGAAAGAACATTATTAGAGCTGTCTGGAGGTCAGACTTCTCCCCTGGGGCCTCATCACTACACAGCACCTCTGCTAACGCTGCTGCGCAGTGTTACCCTGCAACTGTTGAAATCCATCAATTGATGGAGCAGTTATCAGCCACCTACGGTAATTACTTCAGGAAAAGCGTTGAAGTTAGACTTTAAGTCATCCCACGCACCAGTGTGGCTACTCTAATTATCCCTGCTCCCCTCTTATTTTGAGTGACAGCATTCAACTAATACTGTGGCTTGTCCAGGTTGTTGCTTTTCCAGCTGTGTGCTGCTATGCCTTTATCAGCAGAGACAGCCAAGCCATGTTGTCACTGTTGACGCCAGCACCGGAGCTTTGTTTTTCCCCATCTTCGGCACGTCTTTGTTTATCGGGGGATAACAGGCGTGACCTTGCAAAGAAGCACTATACCTGTTGATGAGAATAAGCTTTGGTCCACGGTCCGTAAGCACACGGAGAAGTAAGCCAGCGAGCAACAATAGCAAGCGGCACGCCATTCCTCTATCGGGAAAGCTGGCAAGTTGTGGCCACACTGGGAGGAGAGAGACAGAAATATAAAAAATAAAATAAAGACACATTAGGCCTGTTAGTGGGAGAACTGCAAATGTACTCCTCACACAGTTTTGACTGACACTGCCTGTATGGCTCACCTCTTCCCTCCCTAAGCCCTGTCAAAGCACAGACAAGATAAGCCTTTGCAGACAGCAAACCTAAGTGTAGGCGTAGCACTCGAGCATCCACCATCCTTTACCGCTTCTCTCAGGATATGTATGTTGAGATTTTACTTGTTTAATCAAGGTGATCATTTAATATTCAAAAAGAAAAGAAAAAGCGACCCTCAGTTATCCTATAGAGTGCATACCGAGTGTTTTTTTGCTGCTGTAAAACAAATAGCTGTACTGACATGCCTGCAGCATTCAAATGCAAAAAATATCCACCAGTGTTCTTTCATATAGAAACAACATTCCTGCTATAACGACCTTCATCGTGTCACTGTAGTAGTTGAATGCCAACACAAACGCAGCACATGATCCACAGGCACAACAAAAATAAGCATGGCACACGCATTAATATGCAGCACCTCCTCTGAAGTCAGAGCTGGGCTTGAAAGCGAACGGAGCAGAAAGAAAAATTGCTTTGTGAAGCGGGTTGTTCTCAGCACTGAGTGTGATTTGTTTATTAGATTAACCTTAGATTAGATTTTGAGATGGTTGCACAAGTATTGGCATATAAGATTTATGCCGAGGCTAAAATGGTCAGACTTCACCATCAGCTTGTTTACTCCTGAATGTGTTACACCTAACTAATAATCACATTTATTAGGTGTAACAATTACATGCCGGTTCAGTCTATGTCAGCGCATGCTCTCGAACATCAGAGCTATTTGTCAATTCATTGGCTGTGAATTTCAAGCGTTTACACTCAAAATGATTCAAAAAACGCAGTTATTGATGAGAAACTTTCAATTACTGCATTGGAAAAATAATATGGCGATTGTTACTATGGGCCTGGACTTGAACAGGTAATAAAGGCAGGGATGAGGAGTCAGGCTTGTAGTATTTCAAGTTTCATTTCTACCTCTTTGTCTCTTTAAGCTGGTTTCCATCTTTGCTTTGTGTGTGGAACAGTAGCCTAAGGTTTATATAGTCAACTGGCAATTATGTGACGGTGCATTTCAGGTCATTTCTGAAGTAACGTAAGAGTATTGTTACGAGTAGTGTAACCTCACAATGTACAAGGGACCAGTTCAGTATGTCTCTAGATGCTGAATGACTCTGAGTGTATCTCACGCTCCACTTTTCTCTCACTCTGAACACGCTAAAACTGTTCTCCACTTGAAGCAGCAACTCATACTCAATCTGGAGCAAGCAAACCATATCTTTCGGGGACAGAACTGTGACCTCTGACTTGTAAACTCATACCTGTCAGTTTGCACTTAACTGAGCACTGAGACACCAATGGTTGGTGCTGCAGTAGGCATCCAAAACCAGGTGTGCCAGGTCTACCCAGAATCCTCCCCGACCACCTGGGGGGGCGATCGTTTGAGTGCTGAGCTACTCTGCTCACCCAGGAGTCTTAAGACTCATGCAAAGCTGACGACATGATTACAAAATCGATCCCCTAATTAGACTTAGCTGGTGCCAAGTGTAATTAAGCTTAAAAGTGTTATTCATAATGCAAAACCAGTGATTAGCACAGACATTTAATAGCAAAACTGTCACGGGTTGCTCTGAGGATCCACTCGCAGGACTCTGGAGTTGTGTTTTAACAGAGACGGTTTATTCACAAAATCTTCACCAAGTGTATTTACAGACAGTACGAGGACAGTGCTATACACAAGATGTGAGAGGCAGGGTTCCAGGGCTCCAGGGAAAACAAGGGAATCACACACGCGCTCACGCCAGCCTCTCTCCGCTAGTGACCAGTCACCTCTTACACACTCCACACGGGGAAACACGGGGACGGGTCCGGGGAATCTAGAACAGAGAGACAAATGTTAACTTTCTGAGACGGAAGAGTGGGAAACTAGGGCTCGACGTGTACTGACTAGAGTCTTCACAACAATCCAGCGTTGAACAGCTGATCTCCTCCTTCTGATATACCAGCTGGTCTGATGAGGCCCAGGTGTGCATGATCCGGGAGGGCGTGGACCGAGGGCGTGAACCCGCCATGAGTTCCGCCCCGGCAAAACAGGGGAGGGGGAGAGAGATGCTGATCAGTGCCTTGCCGATCCCGCAGGCCGTGACAAAAACACTACTCAGATTCAGATCATGCCCCTCTAGTTTCCAATGCCATGTGCTAACGCCAGGCTAAACAGTGTTTCCAAAAAGCCTCTACCTCTCACCTTGGGTCAACACACCTGAATCACATGATTATTTTGTACCAGGCCTCTGGAGAACTGCAGGAGCTAATTTAGCCATTTAAATCAGCTGTGTTGGTTCAAGGACACATCTAGAACCTGCAGGGACACCGGCCCTCGAGGCCTGGAGTTGCCCAACCCTGCTCTACCACAACCTTAGTTTTAAGGTGGGGCGTAGTGTTCCTGAACCAGACAATCTTTTTTTTTCTGTCTTTCTTTTTTTTAAGTCTAGCCCATCACCTGAAACTAGTTTACCTTAGGATCAGCTGTCACTGTGCGAATGGCAGGGTGTATCCTGGACAGGTCACCAGACTTTCAGCAGTGTTGGAGGAGACATTATTCAAATTAAAAAAAAAGCCAAATCAAGTGAATTATTTATATAGCGCATTTTCAAAACAGCTAACAGTCACCCAAAGTGCTTTTTAGGCACTTATTTTGCAATCTCCAAGAACCCGTTAACAAAGCCTGGAATTCACATAAAAGACAAATATAACAACTAACTTCAAAAAATAGTAAAGACATGTAGTAATGTATTACATTTCGTTTTAAAGCTCCTTGCATTACTTTTATATTACTCCATAACAAGGTCTGAAATCACTGTCACATCATTAGCAGCTGATAATACAGACCTTGAGCTTATGTCCCACACGCTGACATTTAATGAGGACACATAAGAAATCTTTGTTTTTGTGTTTGCACCCTGAGACAACTGTTTTTGTGATATGGCGCTATATAAAATTAAATTAAATTAAATTGAAGTTTTGATAAGAACACAAACCTAACAACACAAAGAAATGTTTAAAATCAACCCAAATAGACTTTAAAGAGATCTCCACTGCGATTCTGCTGTAGGAACATGTACTGGTAGAAATGGAGGCTCATTACGGCCTTTGTTACCCGCTGAAGCGCAGGCCCCGGCTGCTGGGCTGGGCTCTGCATACACTCACCCTGGGTTCTTCGCTCGCTTTGTTGTAAACATGCTGTCTGTGCAGATGCTCGCAAAGCATCCATGTTGTGTGAGCAGTATAATGCAGTTGTTTCAGGACATACCTGACATGACAGTGAGATAACCATAACTTTAATGTGATTCTTCAAGTTAATAGAACAGAATAGAATAGAATAGAATAAACCTTTATTATCCCAGGGATGAGAAATTTTGGTGTTACAGAGCTCTTACAGCAAGGGAAAATAAAATATAAAAGGAAGATACAAGGTGGTCCCATAAACATAAGCAACCGAAGTTTGTATATACAGGTAACAATGCACAGAATATGTATAGAAAAATTGAAGAATTGTACGGAGATATGTATAAAATGCAGTAAACCTTTACAATACTGTGTTAATTAAAAATGCAATGTGATTATGTGTTACCTTGTAGCACTTGTATACACAATACTTACCTACACAGGGCACATCATGAAAAAAAATTGTATTTGAAAACCAAAATGCAGTGAAATTGCAAATGTACTTTTCATAACTGTATGCTGTGACTTAACTGGACAAATTGTTTCTTTTCAGTGTTACAATATTGACTCCACAGTAATAAAGGCGGTCTTTCACTTGCGAATATGAAATCAGTCCCTCCAGCAAAGCTTTTAAGCCCTTATCTTCAAATCTCTCTCTACCCTTGGCTTTCCTCTGGAGAATGCAGCTGACATCTTTATTCCCACAGCTTCGCATGCAGTCCGATTTCTCAGGGGATTCAGACAGAAAGAGACAAGCAGAGCGGATAATCGCAAGAAAAAGAGTTTAAGAGATTAATTTCGTTTTTTTTTCTCCCCTTCATCATGATTGCAACCTTTACTAGAGTTTATGTGTGTGAGAGAGAGAAATAGCGACACAGGAACAAATGAAGATGATTAGATGAAAAGGAAGGCGCATGTCTGTACAGTAAGATATATGATTAGTAGTTGTGTTGACAAAGTGCTTTTTTTTTCCTTTGGAAGAATCCCAACCGTGCCCCAGTGTAAGCCTGAAGAGCTGTAACAGCATTTATTTCCCCAGAATAACCATTCAAACAATGCTTTGTCAACATTCAAGGCTGATTGTTTTCTTCAAAGGTGTTTGTTAATGCGAAAATGTAAAAAAAAAATACAGTTATAAGTAAACTAATGATATTGCGGCTGTATTGTAACCATTTAAACCTAGTTTGTCACACTCAAAGCAATTTTCCTAGTGAGAGATAGTTGTGCCTCTGTTGGCTGATTTGTTACCGAAAGTAATAAAATTAGATTTTCTTGCAACAGAGCGATCTGGGAGGCTATTAAGTAAAGCCGTAAGGAGGTGTATGCACATTTACAATCCAGGCCGGGTGCTCCAAAATAGTAAAGGAGAGACATTTAGACAGAGAAATGATGGCCATTCGCTGGATTGATCCCCCTCTTACTGGTTTAATCAACAACATTGCATCATAGCTTGAGTTTTGTCGGGTGAACATCCCGGTATGAGTTACACCCGTCTGTGTGTTTGTTGTTTACTCCAATTTAAAATGCTACTCAAAATACCACAAACCATACATCAGTACAAAATGAGTGTTTAAAATTCTGCCTTTTCTAGATTGTTGATACCGATAAACACAAAGTACGCAGCAGCGTTTTGTTTTTTAACATCATTATGCATGCTACAGTTGTTATGCATGCTCATTGTGTGTTATCTTGATTAAAACATTACACAGTACAGTAAATCAAAGTTATATGACATATAACTCTGATTTACTGTACTGTGTAATGTTTTAATCAAGATAACACACAATGAGCATGCATAACAACTGTAGCATGCATATGCATAGCTCATATAATGTTAAGCACCAGATACAAAAGTAACAAATTAGCAACACATGTTGCTAAATGCACTTGTCAGTGCATTTTGGATGTAGGCAAAGTTCTGCAAGAAATCCTGTTTCAGCCTCAATTGTACCAAATTTCATGGCAGCTTATCCAATATTTTTTTCTTTTAGTCTGTAAAACAGCCAACACTGCTGTCTCTAAAGGCATGCCACTCTCACTGCTAAGAAAAGAAATTCTTTCCACTTTGCACATCAGACTGTTTTATTTTTTATTTTCTTTCTTTCTTTTTAAACAGGTCGACACGGGACAG